CAGCCCAGAATACCCCCACCAGATTATACCCCGGGGTAAGCTATAGGCTAGCCCACTTTATACCCCGGGGGTATATTCTGGACCAAGCCAAAGTACACCCCTCCAGCCCAGACTATACCCCTAAAAAATTATGTTGACAATTCTCTCAATATGAGTGTGTGACTCAGGGCAATGGTCTTGGTGTCATTTAAAGGAATTTGTAGGTGCATTTCATTTACATTACTGCATAATACAAAATTTATGAGGTATTTGTTGAGTGCCTCTCTGGGATGTGATATTTTCGACTTTGCGTAACCCAGCCATGCTGATACATCATCAAGGTTAGTAGTTAGTTATCTGCTTTATTTAGTGTCGCACACACAACTAATGTATTTCAGCGACGGGGTAGTACACTTATTAAGAAATGAGGTGGAACAAAAAATAGAAAATTCGAGAGAAAACTGATTTGAAAAGTTAAAAGAACACATATACATATTTATAACAATTTATAAAATGGTAAAAAGTGGAATTATTGTATTATTGTTTGGGGAGATTAGATGGTCTATGGAGATCATCAAAGTGTTTGTGGAATTATTTTATACAGGACTAGTTTAACCCCGGGTATAGTCTGGGACAGGGGTATACTCTGGCCTGTTACACCAGCATCTAACCCCAACCGTCCACTCTGTGAGTAGGTGCTGTGTCCACTAGACCATGGAGGAATTTGTTTGAGGAACATAGACGACAAAGAAAAGTGAGAAGAACTGGTCGTTTGTATGCCAAGTATGTTACATATTTTTCACCTGTCTTACAATACCCTATCATACCATATGCTTCTTCCCAAAGACAAAAAAAGTTACAAGCCTTAACCTTAATCCAATGTTTATCTAAAAGGCCTTTTTTCATCATTGATCTTAATTACAGAAATAGCAACAATTCCAAATCTGAAAGGGGAAAAATACCATAATAATAAAGATCTTTTTCTCTTTTATCACAGACTGAAAATTTAGATATTCAGCACCAAAATTTCTGTATTGAGCATGAACATTTGGAATAAAGAAGAAATATACCAGAAATGCCCACTTTAAATTTCCACCAACCAAATTTTCACAAAAAATATCAGTAAGCAAGGAAACTAAAAAGGCACTGTGATAAGATTGACAGTTATGTTTTTATTTTCTTGTAACAATCTAATCCATATGGAATTCAGTGTGACAACAACAACAAAAATATTGACCGATGTTTTAGCTGGATTAACAGGGGTTATTTAGAAAGTATACAACTTTTCTTTTCTTTGCAGCCATAACACAAACAACATGTCTGACCATCTAGCTGGTCGAAATATCTTGACGCGATGTTGGAACAGTGAAACAAATGCATGTGTGGTATGTGATGAGTGTTAACCTAGACCAACCCTACTTGTTCTCAGTGTTTCATTTAATATGCATACCCCTTGTAATACAAACCAATAATAGCGATTTGAAACTATGATCATTTGTTAAACAACTTTTATCCTAAGTTGAATAAAATTCTGAGATTTTAATGTTCAATTGGCAAGGTCAAAATATGGGGATTCGCAATCTTAATTTCACTTTATTTGATTTACTTTTTTGTTCAAAGTGAAATTTACCGGTACATTTTCAGTGCAAACAGACTAAAGTTTAAGATGAAAACTGGAAGTCTGATACATCAGTGAAACGACTCTGGAAAGCAGGGGCGTAGCTGCCATTATGAAAACAAGTCCGGGCTTACACATGATTGTTCTTAAAAAGGTTGGGCAAGCCCTCGATACTATCTAAATATAAAGCTTTGCAACCTATCGGGCTTACACGAAACAAAGTGGCTTGCTACGTGCCTGGTAAGGTCTGACTTACTTGACAAAAGCTTTCCTTGGTTTTACTGGCGGCACTTCCTCGTATCTTCCTTTCCGTAAATTTCTGTGAGTCCGGCGTTCTTCATGTTTTGGAGGTGTGTCGAGTCTGTCATACAAACAGCAAGTACATACGATAACTGTCAGCTGGGATGGGACAATGTACAATAATAGCAAATATATTTAAATAACCAACCCAAAATAACATGCCAAATACAAATTACAACACAGAATAAAGCCACTAACAAGTCCAGGGTGGAAATAACCCATTGCCCGGCCTTGAGTCCAGTGTTTTTTTCTGTTGGGCAAGCAGCTTTGTATATCACACTGTACCCGGTGTCAAGTTGACTTTCCAATATTAATTATGTTGTTTATTTAAAAATTCAACAAGAAAACGGCGGTATAGTGGAAAAATTATCAGGGCAAGTGATTTTACATGTGCCACTGTACCGAAGTACACTAGCAATTATAAAGTTATTTCCATCCCTGGAGTCGCTAATTGTATCTACCAAATTTGACAGACAGACAGATTAGCAGTACAAATGTTACCTAGGTAAGTTAGGGGGTGTGGCTCGCCTGTACTTGCCATACGGGGGATGGGTGTTTCTGGCAGCCGGTGACCTCCGGCCATAGACCGGGGTCCGGGACTTGGTGGCAGAGCTTTTCCTCCCACTCACTAAATGGGTCCTGATTCGGCGCAAACTGAAAAAGAAGATGTTTTCTTTCAGCTTATATTACATTTTAGTTTCTCAGCGAGCAGCCTTAGATACTACTCCAAAGCAAAAATATGTTCAGTCCAGTAACCTAGCTGATAACTGTCCACATTATAACCGAAAATGCTGCCGAGCAATACAATCTCGGATACAATCTCAATTGTGGACAGTACACATATCAGAGCATATTGTGTTCGTGTCAATCAAAAACTGCTTATTGCAACAATTTTCAGTAATATTGGTTTTCATTTACAGAAATTCAATAGTTTGAGGAATATGTGTTAGAAGTGCTTAAACAAGGCTCGATTTAAGTGATGTTAACCTACTTGCACAAGGTGCAAGTTAGACTAATAGCTAGGTTGCATTTTGTAATATTGGGTTGCACCAGTGCAAGTAACAAAGCTCTAAATCGAGCCCTGTTAAAAGTTACATGAACTAATGTGTATGTGTATGGATAAATAAAAAACAGTGGATAAACAACTATGGTGGTGGTGGTGGTGGAATTGGGTTTAACGCCGTGCTTGAGAATATTTCGCTCATATGACGATGTGCATGCGTGTGTATGTGTATGTGCGGCTGCTTGTACTAGCCCAGACTTAAGCTAGTTTTATAGTGCTAGCCCACTGAGATACTATGCCGCAGGTGAAGCATGAATACCCCACTCAGACACATTATACTGACTCCGAGTCGACCAGTCCTTGTTGTACCCACTAATGCCGAGCGCCAGGCAGGGACCAACAAGTACCATATTTTAGCGTCTTTTGGTATGACGCGGTCGGGGATCAAACCCGCGACCTTCCGCACTCCGGGCGGACGCTCAAACCACTACACCACGGAGGCGGTCAAACAACTATGGACAACTGAAATTAATTTAATGCTTAATAATAATATAGTCAGATCCATGAAATGTTTAAAAATATATTGTTTGCACCCTGATTAATTGACTGTCGTAACAAAGGTAATCCTAATTAAAGTGGCAGTGAATTCTTAATTCAATCTCTGCATTCAACCCGTGAAGATCTGGGTTAGAATATTGATCTTCAGTAACCCATGCTTGTCGTAAGCAGCGACTAACGGGATCGGGTGGTCAGGCTCGGTGACTTGGTTGACACATGGCATGGGTTCCCAATTATGTATATCGATGCTCATGCTGTTGATGACTGGATTGTCTGGTCCAGGAATATTGCTGAGTGCAGCGTAAAACTAAACTCACTCACTCACTACATTCATCAATCAATAGAGCATCTGATATAGACTCAAATTTACCATATCATTACAGAAATATTGATATAACAATATCACGACATATAAGATGACATACAAATTGTTTAATCCAGAAGTTGGTGAGTCAATAATGAAACATAAAACTTTATGCAGAATAAATTTGTAACATATGATTACAGAAAAATTGATATATCACGATATAAGATGACATTCCTATTTATGATAGGTAATTGAACAAACATCTGTACTGGCTGCAGAACAGTTATCGTCGCGTAACAGTTATCGCCAAGACATCAGTATCACACGCACGCAGTTTCGGTCAATTACACTTTTGGTATTTTTTCACACAGTATCTGACAACAATAAAGGTCAGCAAAAGAAAATTCTTCATGGTAAGTAACATAAAGGAAAAATAAAAGATAACATTATGAATCATACAAAATGTTTTAACTCAGTCTAGGGGGATGTCACACGAACTATATAATAGCAAGTTCAAGTTCATAAAAGTCTTTAAGTTCATTGCCTTTCAATCTACTGTGAAAAAAACTCCACACATCACACAATCAATTATTTGAGATTTTTTATGATATAAATATATGTTATTTCACGAATGACATGAGGAATCCTGAAATGGTGATAACTGCTACAGTTAATTGTGAAGAAACACTTAATTGTCCTGTCATGATTCCCTTCCGCCGCGTTACATAAAAACATGATCAGCGGCAGTGATCGGGCTGGACACATCGGTGAATAGCTAATTAAGTATCATGATTAATTTTGTTTCATTAATTTAACGAACGGCGGAGTAATTTTGTAAATACTGCTAAAATATGGCGATAACTGTTCAGCAGCCAGTACAGCAACTTCAAAATTATCCGCTGTTTCATTAATAACGCAGTCTAAAAAATATGCCTGTGACAAAATGCCATAAGAATATATTTATGATTTTACATATTTTGATAAGACAAAATATGTAGAATTCAACCCCCGGGTAATTTTGAATGGTAGACAGTTACTTTCATAATAATGTGGAATTTCTCTGAATGGCATGTCCATTATAAACTTGTGATCCCGTGAAGAAAGACAGCTTTTGTCTGAATATTTTCCCATGGACAGTGGAAATCACCTTAAAATAAAAATCAATGACAACTGACAACCAGGTTACTTTATTTGTTGACTGGCATTTTGGTACCGGCATTTTCCTCCTGGCAGTACGAGGATGAGGCTGTTGTTGGCGTTATGTCCGCCTGGTCTAAACTGTGACACACTAACTCAATTAGTAACTGACAGTCTGACTCTGAGAGTCGCTGTGGCGTGCAGCTCTGGAAATGGAATGCGCGAAGAAAGGCGATTAGATTCAAGCACGGCTTTCACACTTACGAATCTTGGTGTTCCCTCCAAAAGTGTTCTTTAGCTTCTACCGACATAATCCACGGGTGTCACATCGTCTGCGATGTCCCAGACGGTGTATATCATAAAGTCGAAGTACTCAAATAAGTCTCTCGTAAAGTTGTTTACATGCCGCCATGGATGCCGAAGCGCCGTCTTGTGTCCAAAGGGGAATAACTCTGCTCCAGAAAATCGCATTCCACTAATATTTTTAGGCTGAAGGATGGGATGTTTTCGTCGATGACATCTGTTTTGGTTTTTGGAAAAGATAATTTAAACTTTTCAGGCGAAAGGAGATATTATGCTGTAATACACGCTATATTGTTGCAAGATGGTTCCTGGAATTCTGTGAAAGTAATTATGATTACAACTTTTCTAAAGCCTATTTTCTCTTTTTGATGTGTGATATCTCGTTTTTGTTCTGTTTTATTTTTATTTAAGTGGTCTGTTTGTTTCCTATATTTGCTTTATTTTCTTTACTTTTGTTGTTTTTCTTTCCTATTTTTCATTTAATTTCTTTCTTTCTTTATTTATTTGTGGGGTAGTCCGGTGGCTATTTAAAGCGTTCGCTACTCACGCCGAAGACGTGATATCGATTCCCCATGGGTACAATGTGTAAAGCCTATTTGTCATGTCCCCCTGCATGATATTGTTGGAACATTGCCAAAAACGGAGTAAAACCATACTCACTCACTCACTCATGCCTATCTACAAGAATTATGGTGGGAACGGCCCACCATACACTCTTAGCTATTCATTCCTGGAAACTCCGCTAGAGTACCCGTTAATAAATCACGTGATTGAAAACAGATGACGTCAACATCAGGTTAACTTTCGAAGCATATAAGATAGATCGAGGACTCTTTGCCAAAAGGGATGCAGCAAAAATCACATTCTGAATACACAACCTACATGAACTTAAATTTAGAAACTTCTGCCCTCGAAATACCGTCCTAACTAATAGGAAATAACTCTTTACTTATCAGCTTGTTACAGAACGGATTATACCAGTTGTAAGTTGCATGTGTAAATATTTAATGAACCAGAGCCGTGTGCAATTTAGACAAATGCATTCAGATCAGATCGTGTTCAACTTCGAAAATGCATCCATGACTTGCTGATTGTCAAATGGCACGTTTCCTCGCCAGCAAAGAATAATGAGCAACTTATTGATCGGAAATGACTGAGATTTTACACGCTCTGGCGTAGAGTGAGTACGTCGTGTACGTATGTAGAGTGAGTACGTCGCGCACGTATGTAGAGTGAGTACGTCCCGCACGTATGTAGAGTGAGTACGTCGCGCACTTATGTAGAGTGAGTACGTCGCGCACTTATGTAGAGTGAGTACGTCGTGCACGTATGTAGAGTGAGTACGTCGCGCACGTATGTAGAGTGAGTACGTCGTGCACTTATGTAGAGTGAGTACGTCGCGCACATATGTAGAATGAGTACGTCGCGCATGTATGTAGAGTGGGTACGTCGTGTACGTATGTAGAGTGAGTACGTCGCGCACGTATGTAGAGTGAGTACGTCGCGCACGTATGTAGAGTGAGTACGCCACGCACGTATGTAGAGTGAGTACGTCGCGCACGTATGTAGAGTGAGTACGTCGTGCACGTATGTAGAGTGAGTACGTCGTGCACGTATGTAGAGTGAGTACGTCGTGCACGTATGTAGAGTGAGTACGCCGCGCACGTATGTAGAGTGAGTACGTCGTGCACGTATTCAGAGTGAGTACGTACGTCGCACGTATGTGGCAGATAGAGTACGTCGTGCACGTATGTAGAGTGAGTACGTCGTGCACGTATGTAGAGTGAGTACGTCGTGCACGTATGTAGAGTGAGTACGTCGCGCACTTATGTAGAGTGAGTACGACGTGCACGTATGTAGAGTGAGTACGTCGTGCACGTATGTAGAGTGAGTACGCCGCGCATGTATGTAGAGTGAGTACGTCGCGAACGTATGTAGAGTGAGTACGCCGTGCACGTATGTAGAGTGAGTACGCAGCGTACGTATGTAGAGTGAGTACGTCGTGTACGTATGTAGAGTGAGTACGTCGTGCACTTATGTAGAGTGAGTACGTCGTGTACGTATGTAGAGTGAGTACGTCGTGCACTTATGTAGAGTGAGTACGTCGCGCACGTATGTAGAGTGAGTACGTCGTGCACGTATGTAGAGTGAGTACGCCGCGCACGTATGTAGAGTGAGTACGTCGTGCACGTATGTAGAATGAGTAAGTCGTGCACGTATGTAGAGTGAGTACGTCGCGCACGTATGTAGAGTGAGTACGTCGCGCACGTGTGTAGAATGAGTACGACGTGCACGTATGTAGAGTGAGTACGTCGTGCACGTATGTAGAGTGAGTACGTCGTGCACTTATGTAGAGTAAGTACGTCGCGCACGTATGTAGAGTGAGTACGTCGTGTACGTATGTAGAGTGAGTACGTCGCGCACGTATGTAGATTGAGTACGTCGCGCACGTATGTAGAGTGAGTACGTCGTGCACGTATGTAGAGTGAGTACGCCGCGCACGTATGTAGAGTGAGTACGTCGTGCACTTATGTAGAGTGAGTACGTCGCACACGTATGTAAAGTGAGTACGTCGTGCACGTATGTAGAGTGAGTACGTCGTGCACTTATGTAGAGTGAGTACGTCGCGCACGTATGTAGAGTGAGTACGTCGAGCACTTATGTAGAGTGAGTACATCGTGCACTTATGTAGAGTGAGTACGTCGCGCACTTATGTAGAGTGAGTACGTCGTGTACGTATGTAGAGTGAGTACGTCGCGCACGTATGTAGATTGAGTACGTCGCGCACGTATGTATGTAGAGTATGTGAGTCGTACGTGCGGGCACGTATGTAGAGTGAGTACGTCCGGCGCGTATTATGTAGAGTGAGTACGTCGTGCACTTATGTAGAGTGAGTACGTCGCACACGTATGTAAAGTGTGTACGTCGTGCCGCACTTATGTAGAGTGAGTCGCGTCGGTGCACTTATATGTAGAGTGATGCGTCGTCGCGCATTATGTAGAAGTGAGTCGTCGAGCACTTATGTATGTAAGAGTGAGTCGTCGTGCATATGTAAGAGTGATGCGGTCGTTACGTATTATGTAGAGTGAGTCGTCGTGCCGCATATGTAGAGTGGTATGTGGTGCTGCGTGTATGAGGTGAGTGCGTCGGCACTTATGTAAATTAATCTGGCGTGCGTGTATGTAGAATTGGTACGTCGTGCGCGTAATGTAAAGGTGAGTCGCTGGCCCGTGTGCATGTATGTAGAGTGAGTGCGTCGTGAGCGGTAATGTATGAGGTGGATGCGCCGTTATACGTATGTAGAGTGAGTGCGCTTGTATGCGTATGTAAGAGTGATGCGTCGTGCCGCATTATGTAAGGGTGGCGTCGTCGTGCACTTATGTAGAATTAGTCGCATTAGGTGTGCTGCATTAATGTAGAGTGATGCGTCGTACGCACTTATGTAGAGAGTGGGTCGTCGATGCGTACGTGTATGAAGTGGTCGTCGTGCGGTATGTAGAATTGAATGCGCCCGGCGCATTATGTATGAGTGATGCGTTCGTACGCGATATATGTAGAATGGTGAAGTCGTAGTGCGCGTATGTATCCGGAATGAAGTGCGTCGTGCGTGTGTAAGAGTGATTGATTGCGTCGCGCGTGTGTAGAATGAGAATGCGTGCGTGCGCGTGTAATGTAAAGTGATGAGTCGTTGCGGTAATGTAGAGTGGTAAATGTGGTGCTTGTATGGCAAGAGTAAAGTACGTCGCGCGCACGTATGTAGAGTGAGTGCGTCGTGTGCGTATGTAAATTGAGTGCGTCGGCGCATGCGTGTAGATTAGGTGCGGCATGCGTGTGTAGAGTGGAAATCGTCGTGCGCGTTAATGTATGAAAGTAGGTGGCGCCCGCGGCATTGCGTATGTGGCAAGTGGATGCGTCGTGCATTATGGGTGAAGAGTGAGTCACGTCGCACCGTATGTAAAATTAGTCGTCGTGCGCGTTATGTATGGAAATTGATGCGTCGTGCACTTATGTAGTGAAATGAATGCGGTCGCGCACGTATGTATGCATATGTAGAGTGAGTCACGTCGGAGCACTTATGTAGGAGTGAGTACATGGGTGCGCCATGTATGTAGTGATGCGTCGTCGGCACTTATGTAAAATTGATGTCGTCGTTAATGCGTAATGTAATAATATGTAGAGGTGTCGTCGTATACGTGATGTAGATTAGTGCGTCGGCATGCGTATGTAAGAATGAATGCGTCGTGCACTTATGTATAGAGAATGACAATGCGCTGCGTATGTAAGTAGTGATGCGTCGTGCACTTGGCGGTAGAGTGAGTCGTTAAGCACCGCATTATGTAAAGAGTGAGATGCGTCGTGCCGCGTGTTATGTAAAATTGAGTGCGTCGTTACACTTATGTAGAGTGATCGTCGGTCGCGCGCATTATATGTAGAGTGAGTCGTCGAGCACTTATGTAGAGTGAATCGCGTCGTGCTTATGTAGAGTGATTGCGTCGGCGTGTATGTAAGAGTCGATGCGTCGTGCATTAATATGTAGAGTGATGCGTCGTTGCATGTAAGAGAAGTGAGTGCGTCGTTGCGCTTATGTAGCCAGGTGAGTCGATGCGTTAAGCATTATGTGGAAGCGGTGTCACGTCGGGTAGGTGAGTGAATGCGTCGCTGCGCATGTAGAGTGGTAGGTGATTCGCACTTATGTAGAGTGATCGTCGTTACGCATGTATGTAAGAATGAGTCGTCGTTGCGTTATGTAGAGGTGATGCGCCCGGCATGTATGTAAGGTGAGTCGTCGTGCGCATGTATGTAAGAGTGAGTCGTCGGCATGTATGTAGAGTGATGCGTCGTGCGCATTATGTAGAGTGGTAAGTCGTCGTGCATATAGTAGAATCGGGAATGCATGTCGTGCGCGATATGCTAAGTGAAGTGATGCGTCGCGCGCGTGTATGTAAGAGTGGAGTCGTCGTGCGCATTATGTAGAGTGAATGCGTCGTTGCGCGTATGTAGAGTGATGCGTCGTATTGCGTATGTAGAGTGTGATTACGTCGTGCGGTAATGTAGAGTGATGCGTGGCGTGCGTATGTAATGTGATGATGCGTCGTTGCGCGTATGTAGGTGATGCGCGCCACTGCGGTATGTGTAGAGTGAGTG